ATGGTAAGAAGCCCATGTTTCTTTTCTGTCTTTGCATGGAGTATAGAGTTTTTAAAGAGAAACTGGATTTGGATGTTGGAAACTAAAACAAAAAGGCTTCTTTTCCTCTCTGGAGATGCTTTTTTGCCTACTCTGTTAACAGAGGCTAACTGCCTCTGGTTTGGACACACACACACACACACACACACACACACACACACACACACACCACACCATTACCAGTAGTCTCTGCTGTGTACTCACATTTCATCCCCAGGGACACGGGGGCCTTCAGAACAAGAGCCCACAGTCCCCACACAGGGGCATTTGGTGGGGAGCCAGCAGGCTGGTGGGCCTGTCTTGCCATGAGTGTTTCTTTAGCCTGGTTCTCGGTGGGAATCAGAGTCTGCTGCGTGATTCCTGCCATGGTTTCCCAGAATCCACTTGTCCCATCTCCAAGTGAAGTCTTCTACGTGCAGCAGGGGAATGTGCCTGCTTTGAAACAGGCTTCTTAGAGCAGGGGTATAGGCAGCCAAGTGTGAAGGGTGTCAGCCACACTGGCACGCCCTGGGGAAAGATGTGGCACCAACTGGGTCCTGGGCCAACTGCAAGAAAGGGGCAGCCTGATACAAGAGACAGAGTTCTCCAAGGATCCCGCAAGCTCCCGGACTGCCTTTTGTCATTTTAGAGTGGTGCCTTTCTCTCTGGTCTTGTCCTGGCCCTGGGGCATGCACTAATTTTCATTTGATAATATATTCCTTGCTGGGTATAGGGGCTCATGCCTATAATCCCAGCACTTTGGGAAGCTGAGGCGGGAGAACTGCTTGAGGTCAGGAGTTCGAGACCAGCCTGGACAACTCAAGACCTTGTCTCTACAAAAATTTTTTTTAAATTAGCCAAGTATGGTGGAGAGTGCCTGTAGTCCCGGCTACTCAGGAGGTTGAGGTGGAAGGATCACCTGAGCCTAGGAGGTCAAGGATATGGTGAGCCATGATCATGCCACTGCACTCCAGCCCTGGTGACAGAGTCAGACACTGACTTAAAAAAAAAAAAGTATTCCTTCAAAATCAAGTCATTCACATACAAGTGGTATTGTCCCTATTTTACTGGTGAAGAAACCAAGGCTTCAGAGCAGTGAAGCAATGTGTTCTAAGATGAGCCTGCCAAGGACAAGTAGCGTCAAAAAAACTCTCCTGGTTTTAAGTTCTTTCCCTTACACACCTTTAGTCAATGGACAGGTGGGAACAGTAAGTCCTCTGTATTTGTGGGTTCTGCATCTGCAGATTCAACTGTCTGCAGACCATAATATTAGGAAAAGAATTCCACAAAGTTCCAAGAAGTAAAACTTGAACTTGCCACACACCAGGTAAAACATGGAATCCACTGGAGTGAAGCATTGTAAATCATCTAGAGATGGTTTGAAGTATACGGGAGTGGGTAACCCAGGGAGATCCTGTCTTTAAAAAATTAAAATGAAAGTAGAGATATGGGAGGATGTGCATGGCTATAAGGAAATACCACATTTTATTATTTTATTTTATTTTATTTTATTTTCTGAGTCAGAATCTCACTGTCATTCAGGCTGGAGTACACTGGAATGCTCACAGCCACTGCAGCCTTGACCTGCTGAGCTCAGGCAATGCTTCTGCCTCAGCCTTCCAAGTAGCTGGAACCACAGGCACATGGCGCCATTTTTTGATTTATTGTAGAGACGAGCTACAATAATTTTTTGATTTATTGTAGAGACGAGATCTTGCCAAGTTGCCCAGGCTGGTCTCAAACTCCTGGGCTCAGACAACCATCTCACCTCTGCCTCCCAAAGTGCTGGGGTTATAGGTGTGAGCCACCATGGCAGGCTTACATTATTTTATATCAGGTACTGGAGCATCTGCAGACACTGGTTTGAGTGAGTGTTCTGGAACTATTTCCCATAGGATGACTTTACTGTATTCCAGGTGTGGAACCAGTATCAATCAGGTACTGATAAGAATTCAAAGACACTGTGGTGACTTGGTTTCTGCCATCCTGGCACAACCTGGTTAGCAGCAATTAAGACATAAGGACGGGCTGGGTAGTATGCATTTCATGAAGTCTGTTGGTTCAGCAAACACTTCTTGGGCATCAAGTACCACATCGAGCTAGGAGTAGAAGAACACAAAAATAAAAGAACCCAGGTCCAGGCATGGCACCTCATGCCTGTAATCCCAGCACTTTGGGAGGCCAAGGTGGGGGGACTGCTTGAGCCCAGGAGTAGAAGACCAGCCTAGGTAACATAGTGAAAACTCATCTCTACAAAAAAATCAAAAATTAAAAAAAAAAGTTGGTCAGACAGGGTGGTGCATGTCCATAGCTGAGCGTTCCCATAGTCCCAGTTCCTCAGGAGGCTGAAGTGGAAGGATCACCTGGGAGGTGGAGGCTGGGGTGAGCCATGATTGTGCCACCGCACTCCAGCCTGGGTGACAGAGTGAGACCCTGACTCACAATAAATAAATAATTAAAGGATGCAGTTTCTAGTCTCCTAGACTTAGGACTTACCTCTCAGAAACTGCTCAATGGCTTCCCATGGCTCCAGGGTAAAAATCCCAAATCTCTGTATGGCCCACAAGGCTGTTTGAAGCCTGACCTTTGCTCTCTCCGGCCTCACTCTGCTCCAGCACTGGGCTTGGTTCATTTCTCCATCAGGACACACCTCCCTTCCTTGGGGTCTCTGCACCCTGGGATGGCCTTCCTGGAAGGAGTGTCATTTGAGTAGACTCAAAGAACAGATGGTGATGGAGAAGGGTGGAATTCCAGGTAGAGGAGTTTGAGTGGGAGGCGACCTACTGCGTGAGGCTGGGGAGGTGTCACAGAAAAAGGCAACACATTCCTTGTCCACAACTGATGTTCAGTAACTACCTGTTGAACTGAGCTGGCTGGGAAAGCTGATGGACACACGGTGGCAGGAGGGAGCTGGGGGAGTGGGAGGAGGAGCACGTAAGTAGAGAGCCTCAGAGATGGAATTACCCTTGGATGAGGGATTGAGGCCAGTTGGGGACCAGGCAATGAGGTGTGGGTGATGCCTGCTTTGTCGGGTGGGATGGCTGGGCCCCATGGTGGGTAGGGGACCTGAACTCCAGTCTCAGCTTAGTGACCTGCTGTGTGATCTCGGCCCAATCACTTCCCTTCTCTGGGCCTCAGAATTTGTGAGCAAGATGGAACTGGTCATCTCCAGCCCTCTCCTTCCCAGGTGAAATGTGCTCCTCCACATACGGGGGATGACAGAGAGTTGTGGAAGCCAGGATGGATGCCAGGAGGCTAGAGAGGGCCAGGCCGAGAGAGGGCAACGGAAGACCTCTGTCGCACTATGGGCTGTGGGGAGGACTGGAGACTGGAGCCAAGGCCAGGGCCTGAGGGCACTGCCAGGGGAGGGCTGGGTGGGGGTTCCTGCAGGCCTGTGACTCGCTGGTGTCCCACCAGGACCAGATCACAGCCCAGGGGCATTCTCCAAGATGGCCTGACATTTCCTCCCTCCTACCCTAATCTCAAGTCTCCTGTGGAAGGACCAGGCTCTCCATCAGGGGAGAAGGCTGCCATGGCGGGTAAGACTGAGGGCCAGGCTGGGTGTCCCCAAAGATTAAGGGGTGGGAGAGGGCCAAGAGCAAGTTGCAGAACAAGCCCTTCACCCTGGTTTTTTTTTCCTCTGGTGACCCCATTCTGCCCCATGGATGTCACTTTTTTTTTCTTTCTCTTTTTCTTTTTTTGGAGCTTTTGGGAAGCAGAAGCAAGGCAGGGAGGTGGGGAGAGGCTTTTTTTTTTTTTTTCCACAGGAGCCCTCAGAATTACAGTTCACAAACTATTCAGTGAACTGACCGGCCTCAACCTCCCCTTCAACGGCCTAATCTAAGGGGTGGATGTATGTGTTTTGTTGCTTGTCAGAAACAATCGCTGCGCGGCCCATTACATTTACAGCACGTCGCCCTTTAATTGGTGTAACACGCTGAGGCCTGAAAGGAGGAGAGGCCCACAAAGGCGCCCGTGAATGAGCCTTGACTCACACAAAAACACTCTGCAGAAGTTCAGAGCCGGCCACTAACAAGGAGGTAGGGAGTTAGTTTGAAAAGAGGATGGAGTTCAGAAATGTGTCACCTTGCCGAGCCTCCCATCAAAGCAATGGTCGCATTGACAAGCTGCAAAGAAAAAAAGTTAAACCTTCAGGGCTGCGGACTTGCCTGCTGGATTTATTCTTCAACTTGAGGAGGGGGGAAGGCGAGGGGAGAGTCTTTCTTTTCCTTCTCCTCTTCCCCACCCAGTCTCTCGGCTCTCCCTGCTTCCTTCCAAGAGCCTTAAAGAAGCGGGAGCGAAGAAGCATTCCCCCCACCCCGCCAAGATCCACTATTTTAAAAATAACGGTATAAAAAGTCAGGCTGAGTGCAGCTGGCTTAGGCTGGGCTGTCGTCGGTTTCGGCCTCGGCGGGAAGAGCGACTTGTTCCTGCTCCCCGACGTGTCCTCCCCTCCTTCCCCATTTTCCAAGGCGACTCCCCGGGGGCCGGAACTGGGGGCGTCTCGCCCGGGCCAGGGCGCGGTGCAGGCCTGGAGACTGTGGCGGA